CTTCGAACGAGTCAGCTTCTTCTTCGCTTAATCGTTTACCAGGATTACGATCTTCGTTTCAGAGATTGTTCGCGTAAAGTTAATAACGCGTTGCTCATATTTGTACAGTTAATAGGAGGCGATATAAAGGAGAACAAGGCTGTTGAAGCAGCCAGTCCAGCTTTCCGGACGCATCGGAGATCCTTTAGTCGCCATTTCACGTTTCTTTCTCCCTGTTTCTGCATACTCTGTGCCGGGAGAAGGATTACACGAGGCAGAACAGCGACTCGAAACGCACCATTGTTCTATGGCGTTAACTTTTCGACCGGATTATTCCGTTCCAAGCACGCTGTTCGTAGTTTCCTATCCGTTATCCAACCGGCATTTTTCGGCGCTGGCTACCTTCGAGGATAGAAACACCAATGACCATCGGATTTTCCTCGTTGGATTAACGATATGTTTGCTCTTTTTTCCCCCAGTTATATTTACACAGGGTAAATTTAAATAGGTTTTCTGGTATTCGAAGATATTAATTGAATTTTCATGCTTCGGAAGAATTCTATGAACACATTGGACGTCACGCGTTGATAAGTCTCAAGATTTTAATGAATCGGATTTGAAAAGTTTCGAATATCAGAATTGCAGCAAGAAATAATGTAGCTAATACAAATTGCCTTAACAGGTGTGTGGGTCGTTGTCGGTGGTAGCATCGCCAGGTTGAATGTGTACCGAGTGGCATGCTGCAGGGTGGGGACGAGGGTGGAGGTCACCGTCCGAAAGAATCCTCCGCTTCGTTTTCGTCCTTCTTTCTCCCTCTCGAATTCTCTCCTTTCTCGTTCTCCTTGGTCTTGAACGATATACACCTCTTCCTGCCACGCAATTGCTATCTCCTTTACTCTTCTTGGTACACGCTCGATGCACTTTGGATTCCTCCTCGGAACGAGCTGGGATTCTTCGCGAGGTGTCTATCCGAAGGTCGCTCGGCTCGAGCTAGCGTGCATTCGCCCATGTATTTTCGAGCGTGTTGCCGCGAGGAGAAGATGCTTCTGAAGCTTATGCACGCTAGTTCGGGGAGCGAGGAATATGCACGCTGGATCGTGCAATTTTGTTTCTTTTTATTTCTAACTCTATTTTTTAATTCTATTCAAAATTTCATTCGTCAATTATTATATTATATTTTTGTACGACCCTCTGTGTGTGTCTGTGGAAATACACAATGGATCCGTGAAATGGAAGAATCTTCTTCTGGTCGTAATCAAGAAAGTACTCAGTGAACAAGCAACTGACCCTGGGAACCTTCGACTCTACGTATCAAATTCTACCGTCTTTCAAGCCATTCATCAGATGCTTCAAACGAGCTTTGTATTTCCATTCCACTTTTCAGCCTGTACTCCCAATCCCATCTCCTCGGCTAACCCCAATCCCGCCCACGTTTTCCGGCTTTCCAGCCTTTTTCACCGTCTCTATTCCCATCGCGGTTCGTTGTTGCCTCGGCAACGATCGAACACCAGAAGCCCAGAACCCACGACTTTCCTAGCTTTCATATCCTTCGACGTGTGGGAGAGACACTCGTACGAGAACGCTTACCCGCTCGCCAGCAGAACGAGCGGACTCGCCAGCGCTATGATTAGCGATTACGGCATCGCGATATTAGCCGCAACGCGATTCCTCGCTTGCTACTCGCTCACGCTTCCGTGCAACACGGCTGATGACGAAGGCTTTATACGCGAATTAACCACGCTTTCATCCGTACCGCTTTGCTACCAGTGACGACCTAATAATCGTTCGGAATCATTGAAAATATCATTCAAAATTAAATTCTTCGGAAATTTTGCTATTTAATTAACGCGAATAGAATCAATTTCTATCCCTAATGCAATTACATTTTTGACCATCAACCTGGCTATCGTTGAATCAACACCCCACGATGGTAGCTAAAGATTAAGCGAAGCACAAGCGGCGATGCAAATTCGTTGCTTTGAAACACGAACACGAATCGAGCAGGTAGATTTTCGCTGGTTCTCTTCGTATATATACGTGGCTTTTCTCAGATCGATAACGCGCCGCGCAGTCACTCGCAATCACAACCTGAAACGGATATTATTAATTACACGAGACGGCGCTATCCGTTCGTGTAATTAATAATTAGTACCTGACGCGATAACTATACTCTGTATAACCTACGCTGAATATCACTGGTAACTGGTTTGTTAATCCGTTCTGCCGGCAACATAGTAGCGAAGACGGTGATTATGCGATACACACGTATCGATACGCGCGTTTTATGCAACAACCACGAACGATCGATGATACGAGTCGTTCGTTAAGCTGCATCCTCGAATCGTTCGAGGTATACACGTCGATCGTTAATGCCAGCAGCGTCATTAATGGTGCTCGATTGCATCGAGGCGTGATTGGAAGTCCCTGGAATACCCGATTCATGAAAATCGTTCGTCGAGCGTGCGTCTAAAAAAATATTCCTCGCGTTTTGTCCACGCTGGAATCATTAAAAGTCTCAAGCGAATAACACTTTTATTTATTTCTTGTACGAACAATGGAGGGAAGAGGAGGTCCACCTGCGCGATAATAAAACGAACGGCTTCGGAGATCCGTAGATGGTGTTAGAATCGTGTTTCAGGACTCTCCATATTAGTATTCTCGTCCGAACGGGTAGGTTTCAGGGTTCGTTCAGGAAAGCCTAGGACACTCGCGGCCTCGCCGAAACTCCGCGGTCCTCGTGAGCAGGAGATAACAAGACACGTGCTATGCAGACGTCGCGTCCAGGAGTTCCCAGCGGGACGGCCCGTCGTGATTTAGGCTAATTATGCGCGACCTGGGCCCGACTGGCTTTCCCCGTTGGCATCATAACTAAAAGCCATCGGTGTTGTCGCTTTACTTGGCCCTTGCAAACGTGTAACTTTACCCGCTCGTTTCTACTCGAGATTGTGTACCTACGGCTTACGTGCTCGTGGTTTTAACCGTGTTCACTGCCATGGAGATGGTCGAGTTCGCACGAACTTGGGAAGATTTAAAGCGTCGAATACCACAGGGGGTCACTACCGACCGATCCCGCAAATTAGCTATCATCGAATAATTAAAGAGAAAGGAATATTTTGGAAAATTTTCAGCTCGATTTAACTTCCGGTACCTTAATTACGCGCCGCGTCTAATTTCCGTGTAGTTAACAACAAAGATTTGTTATGTAAAGCGATGCTGTTATTCCTGAAAGTCCGTAGGACGTGATATAATAGCGGTCGGTGCGCGGAACGAGTCGTTCTACTTGCAAAACGAAGCCTAAGAGGAAGGTCTGCGAGCGTCAGGCGGCGCTAATTGCCGTAATGAAGATTATTCGCGGAGAATGCGAAAGGGTGCGCCATTGTCTCGGTGAAATAGTACCGTGACCGTGCAGAATTCAGCAGGTTGGTCAGCTAGCTCGGCGATCTTTTGATACACAAATATTTTCCTGTCCAACAAACGAATTACAGGAACACGGTTTCTGTACACCCGATTACGCGTGTCTGTTTAACATGTTAGTTAAATAGAGGACACTGTTGACTGATATCTAAAGTTTAACTGTACAATATAACAGGGTCATATTTGACAAAGGAAAACAAACATTTTTTAACTTTGTAATTTAAGATTTGATTACTTGACGGAAACCCTTATCGCCTTGCCACATAGTCTAGCAGTATTTAAAAATATAACCGGATGAAAACAAATAACATACATAAGTATGCCTTGAAAACGTGGCAAGACACGCGTATCGATAGTCGTGGCCACCGCAGCCATCATAGATCATTGCGTTATCGAGTTACTTCCGAAAGTCGCTTATTGTTGCACCAACGATGTTAGATAATTACGTATCAGCGATAGAGACTGTTTACTACGATCGTTCGCACCATGTAACGATCACTGCTTTTGAGATATTAATGAGAAATAATAAGAACGCGTTATCTTTCAATGGTGACTTTGCTTTTGAGAATCAAAAGTGACCTAGAAATAATTATTCAACATTAATGATTTACGATCCTTTGAAATGATACATACGTAGTTCGGATGGTATTATATTTAGATCCAGTTGGAAATTGAAAATTTCGTATCTATAGCAAAAGCATGGAGGCTTGTCTCGATTATGCACGTGCCGAAGACCTTGTGACACTTAGGCACAGCCACGTCGCGTCGGTCATAAGTCGCACGCTATAATAAAGTACTGACGAAGTACCAGATCAGGCCAATCTCCATACGATGCGTACGAACAAAGGATTGGCAAAGACGACCAATAAGTGGTTCGAGGCCAAACAGAAATGTCCTTCTTCCTTTATGCTTCGCAGTAGAATTCCGCTGACCGTTTGTGATAACAATACAAAACAGGATACAAATTGAATTTCTTGTTTAAACGTCCATACAGTATAATATAGAGGATCGTTTATATTTTATATAAATCATGAAATTTGACGAGGAGAGGCATAAAGTCGAACTAGATTACCGCGACTCGATTGTCGGGGTCAAGAGTCATCGAAGCTATACAAGCCTTGATCGTGCCTTAGTCTACCTCCTCCTCGATCCTTTTACCCTTCGCCGCTCGGTGGATGAGTTATTGAAGAACGGTAGCCATTTTGTATCATTGGCCACGATACAAGCGACGACAGGACAATAGTCGCCACTTGTCCACCGGTTTTTTCCAAGAAATCAAATTCCAGCCCACCTGTGGCGAGCTTGTTCTTCGTCGTACCGGTATACCGATGAAAAGTACCGATCGATCTGATCTATCTTCGATCGTGGATCACGCGAAACGGACACAATCATCGTGTGCGACGATAAAACTATCTTTTGTCGTGCCCTCGTAATGATCTCTGTTGAGACAGAAAGTTCAGGATACACATTGCTAGATTAACCAGTTACGATTATTTTCTTGACTAAATCTTTTATTTCTCATTTTCCTATTATACATAGAAAATAAAAAATCTAATAATCCAAAAATTCATTAACACTAACCTCAGTATCTGTTTTTTTGATTACAGGTGTCTGCGGGTCAGCATATGCAATTCACAGGAGACCTGAAACCTGGTGTATCAGTGGCCGCTCAACAGGGCATGTACTTCAACCAACAACAGAGCCAAAATCAGTCAGGACCAGGTGGTCAAAACGACACGTACTGTTCTGTCTCCCAGTCTCAGACGATCAACTTCACTCAACAAAGTCTGAAACAAAGAGCCGCGGCCGCGGGTGGTGTTCCTCAGCCTGCAGGAGCTCCAGGAGCTCGTAACCATCCTCAACAAGTGCCGCAGAATCAGGTGGACCAACATCAACACGCGAAGCTTCTTCAGCAACAACAACTGATGCGCGCTCAGCAGGTTGGTGTTTCCCTCGTATACATTCTAATCGATTATTCGAAACTTTTGTACACGTGCTCTCGCGTTCGAGGGCGTGAACAAAGGTTGCTTTATGGTTTAATTACCTAATGGCCCTGAACGATCCTTATCTATGGTAATAGGAACAGTGTTTCGCTGATGGTGAGAGTGGAAGGATCGGTACCGGTTTTAGGTTAATCCTCGTTCGAGCTTTTAATTATACGAGGTTTGATATTATCGAGGAGCTAAGTTGCTTTTAAAATAAAGGTATTTTTAGAAATTGGTGGGTAAGTTGATTAGAAAGGTTGAAGAGTATAAAACATAGGAGTAGTAAATGTTAATTAAATGAAATAATCGTATTTGCATCATTTCTAATATTAACGCTTTGTGACTTCAGTGTACAACCTTTTATGTCATCATTCTCAACCTTATTTTTATCCATCATATTCCGTGTTAATTAAAATTTCACACGTTAATTTTTCTTAGTTCGAATTCGATTCGTTGCTCAATTTCCTAGCAGAATTTCATCGAAAGATGTATTTTCGTATTGTTTAAGGCGCGATTTGGTTATCTATCTTGTAGACGCGAACAATAACATGTTTCAGAAGCTTATTCTGATCGACTATCGAAGATCGGAAAGAAATCGCGTCGTGATATCTTCGGTGGCGCGTTATCCGAAACATTAAGCTCGTCGGTGTGCAACAGGTATCGCGGCTCCTTTGCAACTTCTGTTCCATCGTTCTGAAAGAAGCGGCACAAATAGCAGGAGCTTCTTAGAGGTCGCGGAACAATGAACGGAAACTTTTTCTGCAACCGGAAAATCTGTGTTCACTCGCGTTTCCTGCTGCGAGCGTAATGTCGGGTATAACTGTGACGCGATCTTACCTTTTCTTGCGATATTCTTGAACATGAAAGTGAATAATTTAGTAAACTGAAACCTCCGGCATACGTTTTGTTTTGTTATTCAATATGTTGTTTTTTTATGTATGACTCTGAATGATTTATGAAAGGTGAAATAATTAAGTGATCTTTCAGTTGTATTTTCTGACATTAGTTTATTACCATAATCTTACAACGTCCTCTATATTTCCTTATTAAGATTTTCACTTTTTATTCTCGGCTATTGTTGTTGCCCTTTGTGCCATTCGAAAAATGGGAAAAGAAGAAAAATGTAGAAGAGACTTTCATTTGTATCAAGTTGTTGTTCTAGTTACTCGTTGGTACAATGTAACGCCGGCAACTTTGCAATCAGACAACATTTGCATGCAGTCATTTACATCTTGTCCGGCACGGTGTTCTTCATCTTTTATGCATTCCCAATTTGCATCCGAAGAAACTGTGTCCACAGGCTCAATTACTGTCACTGAATCGTCGTCTTCCACGAATTACTTTCTTGAACGATGCTCGCCAGTGTGCTATTGAAAAATTGCTAAAAGATCGAATGTAATATCGTGTCGTGCCTCGATTTGCCGGTTTATCGTTCGAAATCATGCGATCGAGAACGGTTCTACTTAACCCTTCGATTTTGAATAAATAAACGATCCTTCTTTTTACCGATGGTATCCTTACGCTTGTGTATTTGGAAACTGCAGAAAAATTGTCGCATCAAGTGCGTAATATTTTTATATACTTTCACTGAAATATATCCTAAACGGTGTATTTCAATCTTATCGATCATCAGAACGATTTATCGCGTTTCCCTGAGTAAACAAACTGAGGGGGAAGATTGAAATCTGCAGCGCAGAATTATTGGCGATTTACAGATCTGCACGATGCACTCGATGGTGCAGTCACGTTGCGCTCGCGGACATGCAACATAGATTTATTAACGAATGACTCAGTTATAATACCAACTATTACTTTAACAATGTTAAGGTATCGAAGGCAGTTCTCCGATCGTGCTCCAGTTACTAATTGTAGGTTTCGCGCAATTGGTTAGTCATCCTTCGTCAAGTGTCGACCTTCCGCTTCGTTTTTCGCTCGATGATCCTCTCAATTGCTCTTCTTTAGCCGTGAGAGCGCTTTAAAGAAGGACGTTCGAACGTTCGATCATCATTTTCCTTTCATTAATTCTGATACAGAAATACGTGATACATCGGTAAAATATTTCTTCGAATACTATTAAACCACCGAGAAGAATAAAATAGGCAGAAAGGCGGGAGAAAATGGTGAAAGAAGCTGTCTCTGGTCGCTTTTCTGTCTTCATCGTGAAGGTCGTAGACTTTCGTTGGCTGCCGCGTAACACCAGGAAGTGGGAATGCAATCCACGGAGACTTGTGCAACGACATCGATGCTCGGAACTTCCGTACTCGTTGGCTCGACGACAATGCAACTCGTAACGAGTTGGAATCTACTGGTGGGGTTGGCTTTCTAGTCCATTTCTATCGCTTAGTCTTTAATTTCAGTCAATAGGAGAAGAAATTCTTAAAACTTTCGCGGTGGTCCGCATACCATTCGCAAAATATTCCAAACACGAAGAGCAAAAGTAATCGAGTACCATTGTTTGGTGATTTCTTTCAGGTAATGCAACAACAGCAACACATGGCGGGAGGAATGGGCGGCGTGAGGCCACCACCACCCGAATACAAAGCTGCCCAGGCCCAAATGATGCACGCTGGAATCGGCATGGGTCAGCAAGCAAGGTTTCCCAATACTGGACCTATGCGTAGGGTTACGCAACAACCAATGCCACCTTCGGGTGAGTGTACATCATTGATAAATACGTTCCATCTGCTTAATCCAAATTCCTTCATGCATATGTAGATACGCGTGGAAAATTTTTACTACGAAAACCGTACAAGGTTGAATTATTTCTGTAAACGAGGTGCTCGAAATAGGGAGAAAAGGAAACTAAATATTAAAATAATGAATTTGATTTATTTAGAATCAGACTTCCGATTAATTTACCCTGCTTACACAGGGAAACGCGAAGGAAATCGAATCGAGCGGATGTAATATGTAAACGATGAATAATCATAAAAAAATATTTGACTCGACACGGAACGAGCATTGAAGCAATGTTTACATAGTTTTAAACCGACGGTTAGACGAGTATTTGAGAGAAATGAAGGCGATCCATGGTCGGTGCCGTTGTGATTCAGAAAGAAAGAACGCGGACCAGATAGAAGGTTAGACGGGAGAATGGTCGTAAATATTCTTATACACTCGAAGCTCGCACAAGACTTGTATCGATCTGCCTCGAGGTACTTTCGTAAGATTCTATCCAAACGAAAATCCGCATAGCATCGAAGCGTTGCGTTCTTCATCTTCTAAGAATATTATTTTCTGTAATGTTGAAAGAAATATTGTTAAATGACCGTAGGTCCGATGATGAGGCCGCAAATGGCACAGCAGCAACAACAGGCGTTACACGCGGCCGGTGGCAACATGTACATGGGTGGCGGTAGCATGGCCGCCATCGGTGGGATGCATCAGATGCACCAACGTCTCGGATATCCTAGAACTAATAATCAGCGGCCGCCTAACGTTAGCGTCGGTCCGCCCGAGAGCCTCGGGAACAGTATCGCGGGTCGTGGGGCTCAGCAGGAGTGGCGACACGTTCTGATGCAGCAACAGGGCTTTCAAGCGCAGATGCGATCGCAATTCAACCAGCAAGGTCACCAAGGTAAGCGACGATGGATCCATATCGCGTTCACGATCCCTTTACGGTGGTAATTCGCGCGAAGAACGGGGCGGTATCGCGTTAGCCATACCCTTTTTCTACCTACCGTTCCCTCGAACCCATTGCAGTTGGCTACTTAAGTTGTCTCCGCTGATGCTGCGATGTTGAAAATTAATTTTCCTCGAGAAACATCGAGCACGAAGAAACGACGTTGCTTTTTATCCCGTGTAATGTGCTGTTAGTGTGATCCGAGGTCGTAAGAGTTGGTATAAATCGGCTGGTGTGACGGGGATCGGTAACGATTTAACTTTCACGCCGATTCTGCTATGTTTGTACCGTGTAATCATACTTTCGCGAGGATCGTAAATGGAAATATTTGCCGTTTCTTTCAGGTGGTTTCGGTATGGGTGGCACTGGCGGTATGCAGATGAACGCCGCGCAAATGCAACATCAACAGCTGATTCGTTCGCAAAGCGGAGGAATCGGTGGTTCCGGTATGGCGAACAGCACTCAGATGCAGCAGCTACTGTCGCAGCAACACCAGCAGCAGACATTAGCCATGCAGCAGAGTAATAATCAGATGTCACTGCAGATGCAAATGTCGCAATCCTCATCAGTCAACTCTGTCAGCAGTACCGGAACGGGTAAGACTTGACCAAACGTAATTCTCTTCTCTATTCCGACTGCATACCTTGAAGAGAATCAAGCCAAATGTCAAAAGCACTTTTCATCCCCTTAAAGGTGCGAATATCTTTTTTTTCTCCCACGAATAAACCCAAGGGTACTTCAAGTTTTTCAAATGGAACCGTCTAATTTACTTTTCGTACACTTTTCTCGTTATCGATCACGCGTACTTTTCTGTTTCCAGGTTCTCCCCTGCACCCCCATCAACAGTATGGCGCAGGTAGCCCAGGTGTACGTAGTCTGCCCCAACAACAACAACAACAACACTCGCAACCACAGGCAACCACTACGGACCCGTCAGTAGCCGCGGCTGACTTTAGCCTCGAATTTCTGGAGAACCTCCCAACCGGGGACACGTCGAACTTCAGCGCACAGGAGTTGCTGAATTCCCTCGACTCCACGGCGGGATTCAACCTCGATATTCTGTAAGACCACGCGTATCGCGGTCTAATCGGGAAATCGGATGAAATCGGGTCGGTTCCAAACACGATCACGATACAGACGCACCAGGATCGATCACCCTGTCGGAGCACAAATTAAAGATTAACGCGATGATCTCTCTCGTTCGTCGCTTCGTTGTGCTTCGGTGATTCGCTCGGCGGGTGTCGTAGTTCGATGAACTAAAGTGGAGCGTTATCGTCCCGTCGAAAATCAGACTAGAGTAGTTAGATGATTATAAACAAAAGATACAACTTGCTCAGGGCATGTTCGTCTAGCAAAATCACGGGAAATCGTAAAGAATGGTTAGGAAGAAAGCAGATGAACAGGCTGCGAGGAACGAGAGTGAACGCAAAGAGGGAAGAAAAGGAAATAATTAATTTCCATGTTACGATAACCACTTGGTAGGACGGCGACGATCACGATAACCCTGAAAAGGTCCTCCACGTTCGTCAATTGATCTATCCTCATAGGAGCGTCAGGGAGGGTGTTTGATCCAGTCGAACCGGCCTCGGACCAATCAATCGTGCACCGTACCCGTGCACCATGTACAGTAGTAAGAATAAACACGTAAAACGGTGAGACTTCCTCGATTGTTCCAGCTTCCGGGAGGAAGATCGGTAAGAGGAAGACGGTTCGACGTTGAGTGCAGAGAGACAGGTCGTAGAGCATTTTCGGCAGCTATCCTCAGCTGGCAACCACATTCTTCTAGGCAATCACGTTTTAGGAAAATTGAATTTCTTTATGGTAACGATCGAAACAGCGAAGACCAGAGTGAAAGACGGAGAGAATGAGAGAGAGAAAATTGTGGAAAATCAAGAAGTAAGTGGGAAATTCGTTTTATACAAACGTAGCTCCGAATTCGTACACGTTTATCCTGTTTTTATCGATCAGCTAGGGGATCTCTCTTGAAATTGATCTTCTATCGAGTGCACGCGTCGACGACACTTGGACGGTGACCTCGACGCGCACTCCTCGAAACGTTCGCGCGGCTTCCCTTGATTTTTCACGATCGACGATCCGTGTGTTCGATGATAAGAGAAAATGATGGTCTTTCGTTGTTACCCTCGAGACGAGGTTCGACCGTCGCTCGTTCACGGCTAAACGTTATTAAAGTATAACGGCTAAGAACGTAGCGTATTTAACGATGCCGCGACGGCGTATTTACAATTAACAGAAAGTCAATTACGAGATATAAATACATACATATATATATATATATATATATATATATTCGATTCTCGATGAATTTCCGTGACCACTGATGATCGAATCAGAATCAGAAATCGTTTGATCGAAACGATCCGTGGTCGCGTGTACGTAGGATTCGCGTTGTGTTCGTTGACGAAGAGAGAAAGAGAGGGAGAGAATGAAGATGAAAACCTTCCTATAGACGCGGCGTTTAGTGTTGCTACAGGATGAATTGAAATCTTGACTGTACATATAAAAAAAAATTATACAACATATACACACAGGACCGTAAGCTCGCAAAGTTTAGCTGATTATTAATTAAGAACTCTAACGATATAGGTAAATATTATATATATACAGATATATATATATATATAGGATAATAATAGTAATCGAGTTGAATGAATGTTAAGGAGAGAAAGAGCGTATGTGATGAAAACGCGTACTGAGAAAATGACGATGGGTGAAACGAATGTTTTGCACGGCGATAAAGCACATTTACCTCGAACGAGTGTATTTATTGAGTTTTAGTCCCGCAGGATGTGCTGTGTCGCCGGAATCGACAGGTTGCACACGAGAAATAATCACGGTGAGGTGCGAACTCCGTTTTCGCTACGATGAACCGCGTTCTCTTTCAGCGAAACATTGAATTACATTCGACGCAACGCACGGTAATGATCGTTCGATTAAACGAAAGTGTATTCATCGTGTTGGTTCAGTTCAAAATTACTATTTCTTGCCTGAGATTAACGAGACGATGAATTATTATTTTTTTCTTTTTCTTTGTCTAAACGTAACGAGTCACCGCAGTTCATCGTTACCGTGAAACGGGTCTGCGACTAATCTTCCAAATAGTGATACATTCCATAGCTAAAGAAACAAAAAATGGAGTAGGAATCCACGGTTCGTCTAATCAAAAGTATCGTTTCTAAAAGTGAATGAGGAGAATAAGGGGGTCGTGATAGAGGGGATCTATAAAGTTACAGCAAGAACACCGAACGTTATATAGAAGATACGCGATAGAAAAAGGGAGAAGATGACGAGAATAAAGAATAGAAAGGAGTTAAAGAAAAAAATATATATATATATAAAAATATATCCTCGACCGTTCGCCGAAAAAACTAAAGTGTACACGAATACTTCCGATCGAAGTTTCGCTCGTCACTCTATACATAATTATTTTATCATTCGTGCTCGCGTGTACGCGCGAATATTAGCGAAATATCGAAACGTTCTTTTGTTTTTTTATTTTCTTTGTTTGAAAAATTCCCTCGAAACGGACGTAGGAGCGACGCGTTATTATTGTCTTGTAAAATATTGGGGCCATGAAACATAATCTAAAGCAAGAAAAACGAGAAAAAGATTAAAAAAAGAAAATAAAAAGAAATAAATAAGGGAACGAAGGAGACAGATGCTGTAATTGTGTCCACGTCGATAACGAGATAACGTACGATGTAAATCGAGAGAATCAAGCACGATGAGAGAGAAAGGGAAAATCGCCACGTGTTGTTCTGTTCTCTCTCTCTCCCCCCCTTCACCCTTATAATATAAATATATTAATAACTACACGAATACACGTTTCGTGAATGAACGGAAACGAGTGACTGAGAGAAAGTAAGAGAAAGATTGAGCGAATGAACGAGCGATTGTGAATCGAGGCGAGACACACGAAACAAAGGAGACACGAGCAATTCGTTTGTAGGGAAGAGAGAGCATTAGGGACCAACCAAAAATAACAAAGAAAAATGAAGAACAAGAGAGCAAGAAGCGTGTGCCGATGTCGATTGTCGCGGTGGATCGTTCTTCCTTTTATAATATAAATGTCGTCATGAAATAATGATAGAAAAAAGAAAACGTGCTGGGAGAAAGTAAATCAGCTGTGCCTCGAATCGTTCGCGACCGATCACCAAACATTAGAAACGATCATTTAGAGGGTGTTTCGGTCCTCGCGAAGCACGTTATTCGAATTTTCCACGTTTCGAATAGAACAAAGTGAAAAAGAGAGAGTTGTTTTTCTCTTGCACCCTCGATGTTGATTGGACGGCATCGGTTTCCAACCGAAGAGGACAAAGATGGTCTCCGTTTTTCTTGTGTGTGTGCTCGGTTCATCGAGGAGTCTCGAGCCGGATAAATACACGTAATTATTTATAATATTTATATAACTTTATATATGATACACGGGCATTTCGCATAGAATAAAAGTTCATGTTGAATCTCGAACTGTTATCAATAAAAAGCGTTGAGTTCCTACAATCGTTTCTTTAATTAGCTTCTGGATGTAATCCGAAGTTCGTGTCTCATACATTCTAGGATCTGTCTAGGTTTCATTGAACCCGTAAGAAGAAGAAACCATCAGTTTCGAAAATATTCGAGACCAAAGAATAATTCGCAATTGCAAATCCATCTATATTTTACCAAAATTTCACGCTTTCAAAGACTGCTCCTGCTCCCGATCGTCGATTTAGATTCGAAATAATAAAAGAAGAAATGCGTTTTCTGAAATTATCCATCTTAAAACGCGAAGACGATGGACGTGTGCCTGAAAGAGTGATAATTTCAAAGAAACTTGGTTCATTATCGATTCCTTCGAGGCTGTTGTTGCTAAGTGGATTTCCCGCGCTCCAAACTAATCCTCCCGTTCTCTGTCGAACGTTTCTATTAACCCGGACACGATGCACGACCCATTGGGCTTTCTGACAGCCGGGGTCAGAGCACGTCCACGTGAAAATCCATTGTTTTCCCGGTCGCCGTCTCGGGACGTGCCTCGATCCGTAGCGACGACGCTAGCCAACACTAGGTCGAACGAACGGTAGGCAGGCAGGGAAGCAGCCTAACGCGTCGTCGGGACGCGACGCCGTGGACACGGGAGGAGGATCAATATCACGGTTAGGGAGAGAGCAGACTGAAAATAGGAGCGAGAGTAGGAGCAGCGATGAGGGATAAGGATTACGAGGAGTGAAGGAAAGAGCGAGAAAGTGTAGCAGAGAACCCAGCCCGAAAATGTCAATTCGTCGGCCCCTGGCTCCTCGTGAAATTACGATCGTGACGAGGGTGTTCGCGAATCGTGGCCGATTTCATTAGAATCTTACCGATTACCGTGAAATTTTCAGGTGCTAGCGTTTAGAAAGAATATTCTCTTCATTTCAGATGCATTATCTTACCTTCGAGTACTAGGTCGATTCAGGGTTTTCGAAACAAGGTTTAATTTAAATGTGATTCTTACAATTTACAGTAGAATCTTGGACGAATGTTTCGTCGATGGGTTTCCTTGGATAAAGTTAGGGTATCCTATCTTCTTACACGAATATCGATCACATGCGTGCTTTCGTTGGCAGATGATTCAACTGGAAGAGAAGCAAAGTGGGGGTGTAGAATTCTTCAGAATCGGCAGATTTCGAGGTGGAATTTCATTGATCGAACGCGCTAACACACGAGGACGATCCACTGGCCGACATTGATACGGCACGCAACAATGCTCCGATATACACGCGATTGTGCGAATGAAAATCCGTTGTGAAACTATCAATTAGCTGACCTTTCCGATACGGAAAGACACGTGACAATTATGCGTTAAATCGAATCATGTTTCTTTTCAATCTCTCGCCTCAATATTGCAGTGTCTGCAAACGAGAGAACGTAGTAGACACTGGAAACTTCCGGAAATATCGGTGCCTGAAGATACAGGATTTTTATCTCCACGAAAGAAAGAATAATTTAATTAAACACTTGTTTGTTAACCGTCTAGAATAGTAATTATCCTTCGTCGTAAAGGTCAGCGAGAGATTTCTTCTGCTAAGTTCTTATTCGACCGAATGGAAATACAAGGAAAAACAACAACCAATCTGCGGTTCTTGTATCCAATTTATTTCACACTCGCTTGCCTTGCGTAGAGCGTCGACTAGATGATTTTCTACTGATCCTCTCTTTACAAGAATACGAAAACATCGTCGAGGTCGTCGCGAGTATCGAAACGGAACACCTTAACCCGTTCGTTGCCACATCGGTCACTGGTGACAGGCTAAAAGGAATAGAAAAAATTACAAAAAATTATACACGCCATTAAGATCGCAGTATTTATGCGAGGTAGCAAATGAAAAACTTGATTTGAAAAATGAAACGTATGCATTGCAGTTACGAAGTGTCTGACTATACATGACCATTTCCCCTGTGCCGGTGAATATGTTAAAACACACCTTGCTAATGTAACATCATTTCGAAGGTCGGTCTCTTCGATTCCTCTCGAAATGGCTCTCGTATTTTCTTGAAATTCTGATAAAATTTCCATTTCAGTGAAATTCATTTCAACATATTAAACGCGAAGAGATCCTCCTTCGAATAAACGAAGCGGATTCAGCAATAGAAGGGATCGATGAAAAAGGAGAATTGCGATTGAATGAATTAATCACGTTCCCTCGATCGTTGTTTCTTTCTTTCAAAAACGACCATACGTAAGAATCGTTCGATTTTGTCCATCGAATAATCGCGCGATAATAAATCTCGCTATACAAAACGACACTTGTGGGATCAGTATTTACAAGAAGCGACGAGCTTTCATTGAACAAGGTATAAATTCTCGGTCGATCGACGACGACAACGACTCGCGCTCGGGATCGCGGGCGATAGAGAAGCATAAACGAGCATCGGTTTCTTTTTCCCTTCGTCATTGTAAATAGCGCAGTGTAGTTGAAAGGGCGATGAAGAAAGGTGGTTAGATAGAGACAATGAGAAAGAGAGCGAAGCACGTGACTGTAATTTTTGCGGCTGACGGATAATCGGCGAACGCAAGAGGGGATGGAGAATGCAGAAAATAGTCGTTTCTCTCCCTTCTCGGCGAGAAATCGTATCGAACGGGTCATAGGACACGTTTCGTGATGGGTGTGCAACAGTGACAATCTCGAGAAAATTAAAAGAAAAATTAAGGGGTCGATTTAATTGACACGATTTAGAATGAAAAGATAGGAAGGGGAGAAATGTAACTCGTAAGGGATGACGCGTGCTTCCGTCGCGGATCCATCAACGCCAGAATCAATACTCTCTTCACGCTATTGTTCTCAAAACGATTGTGATATACATATATATTATTGTTAATGCTGTAACGATGTAACGATAGAGATGAAGCTCCTCGTTAAGACGAGTTTTTCGAGCGTAACGTATTATGGGGTGGGTTTATTAGAAAAGAGGCGCAACACGTGGTCATCCTAGATTATTTGATGAAACTAACGCACGTTCTTGATGACTCTAACCGGAAATTCGATTGTCGATGATCCGTGCCGCGAAATTTACACAGTGAATCGAGGCTGCAATAATGTAATAGTAAAAGAAACAATAAAGATGATGAATTAGGTAAAATAGAGAGGGAGAGACAGACGCGCGTTGGTTGTATCGAGTCGCAAGGGAAATAATGCCTGTAAATAAACGAACAAGATGTGAAAAAAAAAATGATGGAAAGAAAGAATGGAGAGTAAGAAAACAGTGTTGCGTTATAATTATTTATGTTCGCTGATCGATGAGGTATCGATAGTAAATTAGTGTAATAATTCGTAATTTAAACGCGGAGAACGGAGGAAGAGAAACGAGAAAATCATACACACAGATTATGTACATAAGCTAATGGGTAATATCTCCCCTTGGTAAAGGATAGTTTACGGATAGTTATTTTTATTACTATTATTATTAACTATTATTATTATTATTTTATTTCTAAGTAACTATTATTATATTATTATTATTATTATCATATTATTATTACTTTTATTATTACTTATTATTATTATCGTCATTATTAATATTATAATTATCATTGTTATCCTTCGGCCAATGATCTCAAAAGAAAGATAGTAAATGCGTTTGGATGAGTGTTGCTAAATCTGGGCCGATTTCGATTTTTCTCAAAACAGGCCACAAACGGTATAAAAAGAAAATAGTAATAATAATAATAATCACCGTTTTCGTTGACACGTTCATAAATGAATTCTATATTTCTTCGTCGTTTTCTTATTCGTCTACTTTTTAATTCTTTTCTTTCGTTCCTTTTTACTTTTTATTTCTGGCCTATGTACTCTCTAAACATGTTTATGACGCACTCGAAGTGAATTCTTCGTCCACGGTTACGCCTCGTTTCCGGTTACCGTAAGTTCCGTTACAGCGCGCACATTTTCGAACAAAAAGGGTGAACGCGCGTCTCTTCAATTCCTTTCTTTGCTTTCATTTATCACTTAAACCTTTTCCAACTTTGAAGACGCGTCGAGCGTGTTATCGAAGAATGAACGTTCCTTTTTCTTTTTCCGTATTCCTTCTTCTGTAATTGCACGAGAAAGATCACAAACAGGATAGTCGTTCGTATCGCTATAAGTCCCGTTTACACGAATATCGATTTCAAAATTAGACAACTTTTCTCTTAAAAAAGAATTGAAAATAAAAATTTTATTACATGATATAGATCGATGCGTGTAAGTGGGTACTTTGTAATAAATAAAACGCAAATAACTGTTTCATTTTGTCCAGGATTCGTTAATGAATCCTTCGTGCGGAAACATAAAAAAAATGAAGAAAGAGAGAAAATAAAAGTAAATGTCGGTTTAAATCGATGTAATTTGAAAGTGACCTATTAAATGAATGAATTCAGTTAGAACTGATAGCGGTGCAACGCTGATCAAATTATTCATAAACATGTTTTATCAAACGAGAGTCAAGACATTTTGTCATGTCTTTGTATATTTTTATGCAATGTTGTAGAATGATATTGTTTCAAATATATTATACAGATAATAATAATAAACAAATTTATATGCCACAACGTTGTTTCAATTTATCTGTGGTATATGATCTAGCGCCCCTTTTACGCCCCTTTCATTGAATATGACTTCCTCTTCTAGAATTAAAAATATATAAATTTTATGATAGGTTTCAATTTTTTTAATAGAAAATGTGGGTCGCACATTTTAGCTACGGGATCCTTGACACTCCAGATTCCATAATGTCGGTATATGAAGAGTGACGCCGATGCTTCGGGGTCCCTGACACCCCATATGATATCAGGTCGGTATGTAGAGAGTGTCACCGATGCATCGGGGTCCTTGACACCCCTGCAGGGACTGCAGATAGTAGAAGACTGGACCTACATGAAGCTAGCCGGAAGGAATAATAAAATATGATTATTTTCAATTTTTCTTAGTGTATTTTGTTTGTAAATCGTTTGTGATTCATTGTGAGTCTATTTTTAACGTTAATGACAAATTAGTTCTTTTGTAATTAGCAATTTTATTTCAATCATGATGTAAGCCGAAACTTTTTTGTAACTTTTTATAATAAACAGATTTTGTGATTTACAAATATATCATTTTCATTGTTTGTGAGTGAATAGTTTCTTAATTATTTACAAGTTTGTTTTATACTAATTAATAATAAATAAACTATAATAAATAAATCCGGTCGTACCCATCACTACCTCGAACAAGTGAGTTTCACGATTTGTTCGTTTTCCGTTCTTATATTTCACTAAATCCGCTCAAACCCATCACTACCCCGAACAAGTGAGTTTCACGATTTGTTCGTTTTCCGTTCTTATATTTCGCTAGATCCGGTCGTACCCATCACTATTCCGAACAAGTCAGTTTCACGATTTGTTCGTTTTTCGGTCTTATATTTCGCTATTAGCTTCGGGGTCCCTGGCACCCCGGATGGTATACTATTGGTATGCAGAGATACCCACCGGCATTTCGGGGTCCTTAATATCCCAATATGATATCAAGTTTGTACGCAGAGATAGTCCCTGTCGCTTCGGGGTCCCTGGCACCCCGGATGCTATATTATTGGTATGCAGAGATACTCACCTGTGTTTAGGGGTCCTTAATACCCCAATATGATATCAGGTCGATACGCAGAGATAGTCACTGGTGCTTTGCGGTCCTTGGCACCCCGGGTCCTATATTATTGATATGCAGACACTCATCGGCATTATGGGGTCCTTAATACCCCAATATGAAAACAGGTCGGTACGCAGAGATATTTACTGGTGCTTTGGGGTCCTTGGCACCCCGGATCCTATATTATTGGTACACAAAGATACTCATCGGCATTTTGTGGTCCTTAACACCCCAATGTGATAACGGGTCGGTACGCAGAGATAGTCACTGGTGCTTTGGGGTCCTTGGCACCCCGGATCCTATATTATTGGTATGCAAAGATACTCATCGGCATTTTGGGGTCCTTAATACCCTAATCTGACATCAGGTCGGTACGCAGTGGACGTCTATTGGCGCAGCGGGGTCCCTAACACCCCTAGACAATATCAGGTCCGTATGAAGAGGGCACAACCGGTATAATCTTTTTCCAGAATTTCTTTAATTTACTTCATTTATTATTTTTTGCTTATTATATAAGCTCATCGAAGGGGAATAATATTTATGATTATATCCCTCTTCTGGGTCTCAGCCGAGGACCCCATTTATTTTACTTTTTCCAGTTATTTATATAATTTTATCCCTCATTATAGGCCAAGGCCATCTCAGTACCCCTTACATCCCAGCATTCCTTAAATTCCTGCAACCCTTAAATACCCTTTTTTTTTTTTTTTTTTTTTTAACGTGGTGGAAATCTTCAGAAAGACACCTTCAGCCCCCCTGGGGAGGGGCCGGAGGTAGTGTGGGATTTTTACCCACTAAAACCACCACGGTGGCCTGCACTAGGGCGGTAGGGAGTGTCTTTTGACCCTCCGTCATGTGCTAAACTCCGCCGACATCAGGGGCCACACCCGATGCCGGCACTCCTCGGGCCGTGTGCAGTGGAGACCAGGGCCCCAGCCCCGGACCCCTACGGAAATCCTTTACATCCCTCGTTCCGTTACATCTTTGCATCCCTTACATCCCTGCATTCTTTTCATCCCTACATTCTGTTCATCCCTATATCCTTTTCATCCCTACATTTCTTACATCGCTTCATCCCTTACATCCCCACATTCTTTTCATCCCTACATTCCTTACATCGCTTCATCCCCTACATCCCTACATTCTTTTCATCCCCTACATCCCTACATTCTTTTCATCCCTACATTCCTTATATCTCTGCATCCCTCGTAATAAATATATTGTAAAGGCTGCTTCGAGTAAAGGTAAGTGAAGGTAAGTAAAGGAATTTCGCGAAAATTTCGAAAATACGGCGCCCCCTGGCGGCAAAAATGCGAACTAAAATTTCGATGTTGAATCAGCGCCATCTGGTTTCGGAAAAAGGAACTAAACCTTGCACCATTTCTGCCCCCCTGGCGGTAAAAATGTGAACTAAAATTTCGATGTCGAATCAGCGCCATCTGGTTTCGGAAAAAGGAACTAAACCTTGCACCATTTCTGGCCCTCTGGCGGCAAAAATGTGAACTAAAATTTCGATGTCGAATCAGCGCCCTCTGGTGGCGAAAAAAGAAACTATATTTGTATAAAATCGCCGCAAAAATTTCAACTTAATATCAGGGAGGCACTGGGATGTATGGAATGCAGAAATATAAGTGACACAAGGATGTAAAGGATACAGGCATGTAAGGGATGCAGGGATGTATCGGATGTCGGTATATAAAGAAGGCAGGAATGTGGGGAATGCAGAGATGTAAGGGATGAAGAGATGTAAGGAATGTATGGATGAAAAGAATAAGGGTGTAGAGATATAGTGGAATCAGAGATATAAAGGGTGCAGACGGAAGTAATAAAATCAACACGTTTATCCTCCTAAGGAGTTAATAAGCTAAGAAGATAATTACCGCAAATTAAATGAAAGCAGAAAATAAAATAAGGGTATATGTATTCCTTTAGCTACCTACATGAAGCTAGCCGGAAGGAATAAGAGAAAGAAAAGGAACTCGGTTTACAATATTTATAAATAATATATAATATACAGAGTGTTCGACAACAGATGGGCAAAATTTTAAGGGGTGATTCTAGGGATCAAAATAAGACGAAAATCAAGAATAACGAAATAGCATTTGCGGCTTTATTTTCCAGTAATTAACGTTTAAAAATTCGAATAAAATGTGCCGGAAACCTGCAACCCGCCCAGCACCGACGACTGAACGTCAGGTCGACAGGGGTTGGTACAGTCATAACCAAGAATCGTTGAATAGTAGAAACTTACCTCTTGTTATTCTGTTTCTCGGTTCTGCAGCATTCGGCTTCGATTCTTGGTTATGACTATACCGACCCCTGCTGACCTGAAACTAGATTTGTACAAAATTCGTTTTATCTTGGGGTGTCTGGGACCCCATAAATCATGACCCCTCGAAAGGCATGTCCAGTCTTTTGCATCTGTAGTCCCTGTAGTCACTGTCTGTAGTCACTGGTTCTGGTAATTTCGAAAGCATGGCTACCGCTTTCAGACTGAGACTTGCGATTAAATGCGGAAGAAACGTTTCAAGACCATTAAGTCGGCACTTAGAAAGAAAGATTTTGGAAAAACAATGTCAACAATTTGTTGGTTTGTATACTAGAATGTTTATTATTCATACTTTATTTATTTTTCTTAACCGATTCAGGTTTATGGTTGAAGTTGCATGTATTTCTTACTATTGTCTACTGATTTTTATGTCTTTGTTACAGCTTTAGCAGGTACTTCATTCAGATACCTATCCTCTCAAGCTGCAACACAGACAACAGAAAGTCACAATATTATAAAAGATGCAGAGAAAGTTATAGGTAACTATAACAGGTTTATTTCTGTATGCATTCCCATAAAATTATATTTCATGTAATATTTCTTTCTTTTTAGGTGAAAGTGATAAACATGAATTTCAATCAGAAACACAAATGCTTCTACAAATTGTTGCAAAATCCTTATATTCAGAAAAAGAGGTGTTCCTTCGCGAACTAATCTCTAATGCAAGTGATGCACTTGAAAAACTAAGATACATGCAGTTAACTGATGGTAAAGCAGCAGAAATTATTGGCAGTAGAAATTTAGAAATTCACATTGCTACTGATAAACAAAATAGGACTCTTACAATTCAGGATACAGGAATTGGTATGACCCGTGAGGAATTAATTTCAAATCTAGGAACAATAGCTAGATCTGGTTCTAGAGTAAGTGAAGTAAAATATATATAAGTAAATTATATTTTATGGTATTCTGACTTAACAATTTTTTTCCCCAATACAGGCATTTTTAGAAAAATTGAAAGAAAAGCAAGATGCTGGTGATGCATCTCAAATTATTGGGCAGTTTGGTGTTGGTTTTTACAGTACCTTTATGGTTGCTGATAAAGTGGAAGTATTTACAAAATCATATGCACCAGATGTTGAAGGTCTTTGCTGGACTTCTGATGGGTAAACAAATATCCTGTAATTTACAAATATTATTAATTCTTATAAATTAGTAAAACCTTATTTTTTCATTTAGTTCCAGTACTTTTAAAATTGCGAAAGCTGAAGGAGTTCAACCAGGAACAAAAATTGTTATACATCTGAAAGCCGATTGCCGAGAATTTAGCGATGAAGATACGGTAAATCGTCTTATTACGAAGTATAGCAACTTTATCGGTTGTCCGATTTATTTAAATGGTAGAAGAGTTAATACTATTCAGGTAAAATTTTTAACATTATCATATATATATTAATATATGTGAATATTTGTTTATGTATTTTCTCGTTTTTTAGCCATTGTGGATGCTCGATCCAAAAGATATCACACCGCTTCAACATGAAGAATTCTATAGATTTATCGGAAATTGTTTCGATAAACCTCGATTCGTATTACATTACACGACCGACGCTCCACTTAATATTAGAGCCTTGTTATATTTCCCGGAAGAAAAACCACCATTATACGATTTCATTAAAAACGATACGAGCGGTGTCTCTTTATACAGTCGTAAAATCTTAATCAAAAACAGAGCAGAAAATATCTTACCGAAATGGTTGCGTTTTATCAAAGGAGTTGTTGATTCTGAAGATATTCCTCTTAATTTAAGTCGCGAATTATTGCAGAATAGTACTTTGATTGGGTAAGGAACTAAAAATGATTTCTACTTTAATGTACTCATCTATCTTAACTTTCACTTTAATTAACTTTTTAAAATTACAGAAAATTAAGAAATGTTTTAACGGCACGAGTTTTAAAATATTTACATGAACGGTCTCAGAAACAACCGGAAGAGTACATTAAATTTTATAAAGACCATAGTATTTTCTTGAAAGAAGGCATTATAAGCACCGATAATCAGAAGGAAAAGGTAATCCTTTAAAATAACTATAAAACTTTTGTACATGCTTCGCAGTTTTACTAATCGCATTATTTTTATAGGAAGAAATAGCGAAACTTTTGCGATTCGAGTCATCTGCAACGGCACCAGGAGAAGTAATTAGTCTCGACGATTATTGTAAACGAATATCCCCAAATCAGAAAAAGATAAATTATCTTGTAGCACCAAGGTAGAAAAAAATGTTGTTCTATGTGTGTAAAGAAAATGTGCAGACAATGTGTACAATATTTGTATTTTATAATTTTAGCCGGTCCTTAGCCGAACAGTCCCCCTATTATGAATCACTAAAAAAACGTAATATCGAAGTATTGTTTTGTTACGAGGCACACGATGATGTAATTTTCTTACACTTAAGAAACTATAAATCTTATACTTTAACTTCTATTGAAGAAGAGATGCGTGAAGCGGATTCAAGTAAATCTGACAGTTCTGGTAAGTGACTTTTATTTCGTGTATTTTTAAATTATTTTTAATTAATTGGTTTTAATGTTCTCTAGGTATTATTGATCAAGGCGAAATTAGTAATCTTTTGAACTATATGAAAAAGGTTTTAGCAGGAAAAGCACATGACGTTAAGATAACTAATCGACTAGAGTCGCATCCATGTGTGATCACGGTTCAAGATTTGGCAAGTGCGAGGCATTTCACTCGCATACAAACTCGCCAATTAAAAGATGACGCGTTATATCACTTGCTTAAACCATCATTTGAAATAAATCCTAATCATCCTATTGTTAAAAAGCTTTGTAGCTTAACAAATACGAATTCTAAATTAGCCGACCTTCTTATAAAACAGGTATATTGTCATCATTTTTAATAATTTCAAATACTTGCGTATCTATTTACTCTAATTCGTTTTTCTCCAATTTATTTCAGTTATTTACCAATAGTATGGTTGAAGCTGGTTTGATTGATAATCCACGATTACTGGTAGCCTCGATGAATGAATTATTGACTGAAGCATTAGAAAAATATTAGTTCGATATGGTTACTAAAGTCTACTTTAAGAAGTTATGACGACGCTGTATATACATACCTGTTCTTCGAATAAGATAAATATTTGTTAATTATAAAACATTTTTTTATTCGTACAAATTATTTTGTAGAAAAAAGTTTATGTTACTTAGAAGGAAATAAATATTATTGTATTTATATGGTACGTTGTTTTATTTCTTTGATTATAACTAAAATATTAGGTCAACCTTGAAATCAATATAATAATACAAAATGTAGGCAAGATTGTGTTCTTTATTACAATAGGTTGATCTTGTACAAATTAATTATAGCCTTCTAATTATAACAAGTCAAGATTCCTCATTGTTTGAAGGAGTTCATGATATCGATATGTATCCTATTAGCAGGGCTAAAGAGTTGTAACAAATTTGGAAGTTGTACCCACATCTTTTTTTTCCTGTTTCATTTTTCTACCTTCTCGTCTTTGCGTAATTATGGCAAGTTATTATAAAATAAGAAATAAGTGGAACTATTTATTAGTTTGTAAGTTAATAACCAAGTACAAAGGGTTGACGATAAGTAGTTCAAATAATTAAAAAAAAAAAAAACAACGAAATACGTATTCTCCCGATCAATTCCGATTGTTAAGTTTGTTAATCAGACTAAATCATTAAATACTAATTACAAGAATCTATCGCGTTCAAAACATAATATTGCTAATATCGTTCGGAAGCTTTATGAAATAAAACATAGCTCATTCTCTTTTCTCTTATGGTTACAACCAAACATTTTACGACATCGACGTGATTACAAAGATCGATTAATACCATATTTATAAACGGATCGTTCTTGTTCACATCGTTTCAACAGTCTTTAACCAAATGTGTCCTCGTTATTGACTCGCAAGAAAGAAATTTATAATTAAGTCTTAACGGTTAAAAAGAGGGCTTGCTGTGCTTCGACGCAAACTGAAATTATCATTGCTATCGATGTTGTTTCCGATACAATTCGTTTAAGTTAAAACTGTACAATATTTTTATTTCATTCTAATATAGAATAAATTGTCTAAGTTCAATTGTATCCACGTGAGTGTTGCACTGAAATTTCAGAGAGGGGAGGCACAGCCGATTACGAAACTTACATTAAAAACAGAAAAAAGAGACGATCATTTCTTCTTTTCCTCTTGGTCAACACAAAAAGAAGTCACCCTGTTTCGCGTTATTACTTTAAAAATGTGGCTTACTCATTTTTTATCCCACTAAGTATGAGTAAGATGGCTAGCATCCTTTACAGAACAGGAACATAAACAGTGATTTTGCCAAAAGAATTCTACGTTTATATAAAAAGAAAAGAAACACCTGTACACCTCTCCCAATAAAGCTGCCACTAGATTATTCGTTCAACAAAATATTTTTCACCTTGGAAGTACTCATTGTTTAAAAAAACTATTAGGCACAGAAATAACAGTATGGCATTAAAAATTAATTGGCAGTTTATAAAAAATGTTTCGTTTACTTGGACTTTGTCGTTGAAAGTAACAGTGTGAGAATGATGGTAGTTGATGATTAAGAGCATTAATGATGATGAGTTGCGTACAATCCACATTGCCGAGCAGTCTTATCAAGTAGATTAAAGTGTTAAAGCGTGATGTAAGTAGTAGTAGCACCATGTATGCAATTCTATATCTGTTGAACTGATGATGGTGACCAAACGAAAGGAGAAGTTTCAAGTAAGAATGAAAAGAAAACAATAAAAGGAGGCTTTGAACGAACGGAACGTTGACTTAGCATACATACATCGCGGAAATGGAATTACTGTCTTCCACCTTTCCTTAATTTCCTTTTCCTTTAAAAAAAAAAAAAAAAAAAAAAAAAAAAAAAAAACCATTGGATAGTTAATATTACAATCATTATCGTACAGTTCATAGTATTTGATCATTGTATAAACATTATTATCATCACAGTAAAAATATTTCATATCTTTTTTTTTTTAACTATCGTGCTTTGTTGCTGCAGTAAACGTCAGCAAACATGCACATATATTCGCCCTAGAAGCAGAGCAATGTTCTTTTCTTTTTTCCTTCATCTTCACTAGAGTCAATTCATTTACTCGCTAAACTATGCGATACTTATATCTATTATTATTAAGTAGTCCGTCTGTTGATTTCGTATGTAACCAAAATAAAGTCGGTTAGCAAATAGTAAAAATACATAAATGTACCTATATGTACCATTCTTTTTTTTCTTTTTCATTACTTTTGTTGCGGTGGAATCATAGCTGCGGATAACGTTTAAAAATTTAAACGATAGGTCAATAAATAATAATCATTGGTCTGACAACGCGGTCGTGATTAAATTTACCTTCCTCGAGTAACAAATTTTTATCCTTAATCAAGATCATTTTCTTACTTGTAATAGTTGCGTATAATTGCCGTAATATATATGTATATATACAGGGTGTCTCGAAAAAGAATCTACATCATGAAAGTTACAAATACTTCGTAAAAATTGATGCTCGAAAATGGTAATGAACTTTTTCAATTTTTCCTATCGCGAAGAGTTCACGATTGTCACGTTGTACATATTTTTTTGAAACACCTTGTATACCTCTTTTTAATTTTATACATACAATATATCCTTTTGCTTTTGAACTAAACCTCATCCCCTTTGGTAGAATTATAAAGATGTTTCAAATGAAAAGAACGATTACGAAACTCTGAATGGTCCACACAGCATTTAAAAACTGTCGAAATGCAACGTTTATCAAATAAACTTCTGGTTAAATACAATGTACGATCGATGTCTCGATCGTTGAAAGAAATGGCTTGTTCGTTCTATACAAATGAAAATTAAGAATTGCTCCCAAATATGTGTATGCACGTTGATTTTCACCCGTCGGTTTCAATATAATTCTTTCGAGGATCGCAGAATTAAGTACGTTAGTACCTAAGCTCTACCTACATAGGAGATTTTGAGGTACGATGTGCAACACCAAGCATCGTTGGCTCACAGTACATCATCGAGGGGGTCCTCCTTCCCTATATCGCCATTTTCTGTAAGAAAGCCTACCATGCTCGGTACTGTACAAGAAGTTCTCATACCGTTTAACTATCTCGAGCGTTATCATTTTTCCTTATATTTCATAGCTGCCTCTGTACACATTCATATCTTCTTTCTCTCCGTCGGTATTGATAATAATAATAATAATAATAATAATAATATATATATATATATATATATATATACGTATGTACAAAAAAAAGAAAATTCCTTGTATTACTCACAAACATTCGCACTGTCTGACACTCTCAAGAAGTACAGTAAAACACGACCGTCATCATCATCATCACGTTCAGTCTGTATTCAAGTAGTGGCACCACTCTTTGTCACACCGAGGTTTGCGTGATACCGTTCCCCGACAACCACAGCCGGCCGTTACTCTTCTGATCGGCAATCTCGTATTCTGAATCGTCTATTTCGCACAGATTGGTGGACAAATCGCTGTTACTCGTGGCACCACCTAACAAAGAATTTCTTTCTTCGAGGGTGGTGATCACCGAACCGATTTCATCCGCTTCGTCCCCCTTGTGGCATCGATTCCGTCGGCTGCTTGGGAAACCATAAGGCACTACATCATCTTCCTCCTCGTCGGATTCTAGAGTGCTAAGACGTCCATTCAACGGATTCGTTTCGTTCTCCGTGTCCGTGTGAATATTATAATGCGGCAGGTAAGAGTTCGGATGACGGAGATAACTTTCGGAACCTTTGTATTTGTATTCACCCTCGCCACCGCTGTCCAGAGGATTCAGACGCTGCGTTTCAGCGCACTGATACTGTTCGGAAAACTCGGTCCCGCATTCCGAATCACCGACGTATTCCGATTCCTGGTCTTCGTTCAACGTCTCGATGTCCCTCGTTGGATCTACAGAGCCGTGCACTGGAAACAGATCGTATCGTCATTTAATAAACATAGCTGATAAAATAAAACCGATTTTTTTTTTTTTGGTTCTATTATACACTATAAATAAATATTCCCTGTCTATCACGCATGCAATCCCCGGTACACACCTGACGGTAACTGATGAGTGTTTGATTCGTTACTCTCGTTGCTGTGGAAACTGGACGAGTCTGGTACTTCGCTTCCAGGCACCTCCGTGATATTAGGCAAGGGGTTTTGACTTGGCCTGACCCAGTCTGAACAGTCCCAGTGATACCCTAAAAGCATTGCAGACAACAACTGTACTCCGACACGCTACATGCGACGATTTGGGCGTCGCGTTGCGGAGTTGAAGAGAGAAGCGGTGTACGGTGAAGGATAAAAAAAAGATAGGCTGCCCGATAGAGATAGGGGGATAGCGACAAGCGAAGCGACCCAAAATAATATGTATATATGTATACTTAGGTATAATATATATATATGTAGTTGCTTCTTTCAGGCATACACTATCTCGGACTTACCACCGACAATACGAGGATCATCCTCGATGGACGTCATGGAGGCAACGGAGGTCCCACCTCCATGAGGCACACGTCGAGAAGAATTTAGTAGAAGTCCTCCAGTGGTCAGCTCTGGTACCACTGGGCTCGCTCGTTTCAGGTCTGTTAGCGCACACAATACGATACACCAATGTTAATTCAATTCGCTACACGCCCAAGTCAGCATACTTTGTTGGTCATTCGTATTAAAAGAGAGGAGGTGAGGGACGAAGAGTAAGGAAGAAAATATTGAAAGATGAAAAATCATTAATCTTTCGATAAGATACGAGAGACGTAGGAGACATACGCAAGAGAAAAAGAATAAGAAGTTGAAGAGAGGAAAATGGAGGCACGGAGATCGAAGTAGTAAATTGAAAGGATGAAAGCTAAATCCACCCACGATGCATGCGGCAAGCGTAAAACAAAAGTAAGAAGCTACGATGAATCGGGGAATCAGCGACGCATACTACTCACCATTCTTTATCTTGGTCGTGTCGGTGATGAAGGAGGCTAGTTGCATCTGTTCTTGCCAGCTCGGCTTATGAAGGCTATCCGTGTCGCTGCCTGTAGCGTTTCCGCCGACTGGGTTAGCGAGGGTTAAGGACGGAGGTGGTACGGGAGTGGTACGATTCAGATTTCTCAAATAATCTGGCGGGAAATTTTCCAGCTCGTCACCGGCACTACCATAGCTTCGCAAGGTGTCTAAATTATTTAGAGCAACAG